CCCCCCCCCCCCCCCCCCCCCCAACACACACACACACAACTTCTGTTAACAGGGCCTGGACATAGGCCCACACGTCAAGAGGCCCCTCCCCCACTGCACCCAAAGTAGGGCCCTGTTGTGTAGGGGTGCCAGGACAGCTGAGAGCCGAGGAGTGCCAAATCCTGGCTGTCATGTCTCTGCTGAGGTCCCTGCAGAGGGGGTCCTGGGTGGGGCAGACCCAGTGAGGCCACAGCCCAGAAATACTCTACACAAGGAGTTCAGATCCCAGGGAAAGGAAAGCGCAGCGTTCCCAACCCCCTTCCCACCCGCAGGAATGAAAAAATTGTAGGTCATCTCCTATCTCTTCTTCCCCAATATTGTTAGCACCTCAATTCTGGCTTAACATCATCACCTGTGTCACACTGGTGGGGGCAGCGAGTGAGGGGGGTTAAAGGAACCCCTACTGGCGTCCTGGCTCACACTTGCATGTCTCCCCTTGCAGGGCCTTCTGTAGTGTGAACAGCCGCATCTTTAATGCACCCTGGTCACAGCACCACTCTCCTCCAGCAATTCTGAGGGGCCTTCTCTGCTTGAGATACATCTCCTCACCCAAGGAGTCAGCCTGGGGTTTTACATCAGGTGGGGTTAGCTTCCATTGGAGCCCAAAACAGTAACATCCATCCTGTGCTTAAAGGCGTGTCAAGCCCCTGGGCCCTTTCACATAATGCATCCAACAGAGGCCTCACAGGGAAGGGGCATCTGCCCTCACAGCATCACAATTCCAACTCCAGAGGAGCGGTGCACACGCTTCAGTGTCCCTCCTTGGGTGGGAAAAACCACTGCACGACACTGGCCTGTGCCCTGGGGCCTAAGGCTGCCAGGACACAACTAAGCTGGCCAGTGAAGTCTTCAGTTTTAAAACAAGAGTGGCTTCCTTTGGAGGTGCATCCCTGAGTGACCACGGACACAGTTTAAACTGGACAAACATCACAGGACACACAGGGCCCAGCTAGACTTAGCCACACTGGAGAGCACCTCTGGTAGGTGTTAACTCAAACAGCCACCGGCGGCAGGAGCATGTCCATCTGGGTGGGCACAATTTGCTCCTCCCCCGCTGAGGGTGGGAAGGCCACAGCTCCTCGGGGGCCTGGTTATTTGCCAGGAACATTCCGTCCCAGGTGAGACCATGTGTTTTCCAAAGCCTGCCGGCACACTAAGAATCCTCCCTTACGTGGGATGATTCTACAGAGGTAGCCCATCTACAAGACAAACCCCCAAGTGGCACGACCCCATTTGCACTTTTGAAAGCATCCTTTTATGTAAAGCCATTGCAGATGTCCACAATTCCACCCAGATGGATGCCGAGAACACGTGGACGATGGGACGGTTTTCTCCGACGATGGCGGTGCGGCCAAGGCCTGCCGAGGCACTGCACGATTGGGTTGGGTGCTACGGGACTGGCCTTTCCCAGGCTGAGGGCCGACCAGAGACAGCCTTGGCCAAAGCCTGGAGACCTGCTTGGCCTCCTTATACCACAGCCAAGGAATCTGGTGATCTTTCTTTTTCTTCCCCAAAGGCAAAGGAAGAAAAAATCCTCTCTACTCCTCACCACCGGCAAAGGCACTTGAGGCCTTCAGGAGGCAGTACCCAGCACTGGTCTCCCTCAGCCCAGTTGCCCCACTAGTACCAGCTCAGACATACCACAGCCCCAGTAGCCAACAGTGGCCCAAAGTCCAGGGCAGAACAAGTAGAACAAGCAGGGTCAGACCCAGAGTGCCACCCCAACCCCCTGGAGCCAGCAGGAACCCACACAGCTGCCAGGACAGGGCCAGCGCACACAAGGTCCTGCCCTCCGTGAAGGTTTCGAATGAGTTGTTTATTCACTATGTTTGATGACTATAAATAAGTGTTTCCACTATGGAAAAGAAAGTTAGCACAGTACATTTGCATGACTGGGGAATGGATTTTCTGGTCATCTTCAATAGGGCAAAAACTTCAAAAAAAAAAAAAAAAAGCCCACCTGAATGTTGGAATTCAGTTCTTTATATAAAGTCCCTTGTAAAAACAAAACAGAATAAAAACAAACCGAAAAGACGGGGCAGGGCAAATTTTTTAAAAAAGGAAAAAGGAACAGAAAACAAGGGCAGAGGACTTATTGCTTCTCCTCAGCTTTCTCCTTGGTCTCCTCCTCTCCGGACTCCTTGCTCTCCTCCACCGAAAGAGCTTCTAGCTTTTCAGCCACTTTCTCGGCATTATCGTTTTTGCCCAGTCCTCCTGAAACACGGGGAACACAGTAAGAAAACAGAGAAGCGCTCTTCTCCCCAGCCCATGCTGGAGCGAGATGCACCTGCCTCGCGGGAGCCTGACACTCCCCTCAGGACAGGCTGCTGTTCTATCGCATCCTCCAGTCACCCAAATACACACACGCCTGGGACCTCAGTCAGTCTGCTCAGTGTGTCACTGGCTATGGCAGCCATTACCAGGCCCGGAATAAGCAGATGGCCGTGAGGACCTCTCAAAGTCCATTCAGCCTCTGTAGGGCTCCAGTCAGATACTGTGACCTGCCCACCGGCCCAAGTGCAGTGAGGCCAGGCCAGTGAGCATGCACTGGGGCCTGGATGGCCAGCTCACTCCCCAAAAAGCACCATGTCCCCGGGCAGCTGCGTCACCCTGCACAGGTCAAGGTAGTCGCAGTCCCTGGAATGTTTCTGTGGCAGACTGAAAAAGCACCCGCCTGGGACTGCAGCCGGGTGCAGAGTGAGTCTGCAAGGAGGCCCCCACCCATGAACACCATGTTACCTTTCTTTTCTCTCTCTTCGATCTCTTTCCTGCATTCTTCAAACTTTGTCTTGAATTTCTGTGCATCTGCGGAAAGAAGAGACTTCCTCAGAACCCTGAGAAGTGAAGGGGACAAGTCCAGCAAGTGTGAAGCGCCAGGGCTCATGAAGGGCCTGTCCCATGGCCATTCTGACAAGCTGGGCCATCTAACATGACCCTGGACCCACTTCTGCCCAGACTGGGCAGTGACTGTTTCTTAGGTCCCTCCTGAGGCTAGTGGCTATGCTGAGCCGTCTCCTTCCATCTGACTCAGCAACAACTGGGGCACAGCAGCAGTATGGTGGCCTCACGCAACCAAGGGCCAGGGCCCCGCCCAGGTACTCTGCCCTCCATTCAGGTTGAAGTAGCTGCTGGACAGGCCCCATTCTAGAGCAGAAGCGAGGTTCACTCACACCAATGGTGAGCTACTGGGCCGCTGAGCTCCAGCACCCACCCAACTCCTGCAGGGCCCACTGGGCACAGCTTTGACCATCTGGGCCAAAAAGACACCCAGGCAGGGGAGAGATCAGCCTCAGCCTGTGGATCTTAGCACAGCCCCTGCTGGCACCCAGGTGACCAGGTGATGAAGGGAACCTGGCTGGTGCAGCCTCCTTTGCGGTTAAGAGGGAAAGGCACTCACTGCTCCTGGACGCAAGAGCACTTGGCTTGACTGCACTTAGATCCCTTCCTTGAGGGCCCACCAGATAGCAAGGTAGTAACAATTCCCACCACAGCTTCCCAATTACCATCCATTCTCCCTGAAAAGCAATAGTGTTTCTGTTTGCAATGGAACTGCTACACTGTAACACTGGCGGCAGCACTAGGCCCACCC